GGGTCACTCTATACCCAGGAGAAGGGAGAAGAGAGCACCCAGTGCAATGACCAGGACAGCTCAGGCGGCGCATGAGCAGGCCGTAGGTGAAAACAATGCCCAAGAAAGCTTGCGGAATGGAGCAGAAGTGACATCCACCCCAAATGCAAACTGCAGCGGCTCCGCCAGTGTCACCCAAAATGAGGTGGTAGTATTTGGCATAAGACGGTGGTCATGAAACAATCGAGAGAGAAAGAACAAAACAACCTATGAAGAAACAAGTGCCGAAAAGACCACCAGAAAATTTCACACTGCCGTCAAGACGAAACTCGCAAGTGGGACATCAACTAAGTCACCTGATCACCATAAAAGTGGTGATAAACCTGCGTCAAAAAGACCAGACACGAGAAACAGAGAAGATCGAACCAGCCACATACCGGAATGGACTGATCTACTGAAAGAGGCGGAGCCGTGGGAAGACCCTAGGGTTCGGACATCGAGCAAGAAGCGTCTGAAACCAGGGCTGGGCCAGCCACCTAAGAGCCAACAGGACTGCTCATCCCTGGTAAGTCTCTCTAAGCTAACCAGGACCCAGAGCAACAACGGAACCGGTGGGAAGAGGTACAGGTAACCCCAACTCGACCAGTCCAGCCGAAAGTCATCGACCCCGACGACCTCGCAGTCTGGGAAGGGCGCCACATACACTGGAAGATGCCTCGACCAAGTCGATGCGAAGAGATCCACCTCTAGGTGCCTGTACGTCCGACAGAGCCAAATGAACAAGTCGGTGTCGACCGTCCATTCCATGGATAGAGGAATGAACCGAGACAGGCTATCTGCCAGGACATTCGACACTCCCTGAACGTGAACCGCCAGAAGAGCCAAACCCCGAGAACTCGGCAAACGAGTCACCTCGTTTTAATGCATTTAAATACATGGATGGCGATATACTAAAGAAATTGTTCATGACTTTTGTTAGGCCAAAGCTAGAATATGCAGCTGTTGTGTGGTGCCCATATCTTAAGAAGCACATCAACAAACTGGAAAATGTGCAAAGACATGCTACTAAGTGGCTCCCAGTACTGAAGGGCAAGAGCTACGAGGAGAGGTTAGAAGCATTAAATATGCCAAAACTAGAAGACAAAAGAAAAAGAGGTGATATGATCACTACGTACAAAATAGTAACAGGAATTGATAAAATCGACAGGGAAGATTTCCTGAGACCTGGAACTTCAAGAACAAGAGGTCATAGATTTAAACTAGCTAAACACAGATGCCGAAGAAATATAAGAAAATTCACCTTCGCAAATAGAGTGGTAGACGGTTGGAACAAGTTAAGTGAGAAGGTGGTGGAGGCCAAGACCGTCAGTAGTTTCAAAGCGTTATATGACAAAGAGTGCTGGGAAGACGGGACACCACGAGCGTAGCTCTCATCCTGTAACTACACTTAGGTAATTACTTAGGTAATTAATTACCTGAAGTGGTCAGCACCACAGAGCTAAGGACCGCATCGAACCCCCGTGGTTCAGACAATGAACCACCAGGGAGCAGTCCGAATAGAGCAGGATCATTGCTCCACGAGCAACACGAACCCTTTGAAGCAAAAGCCACACCACCGCGAACTCCTGTGCTGTGCTGTGAGCCCGACGGAAGGACAGACCCCATTTACTCTGGCCGGGCTGGTGAGCACTGGTCACAAAACCTCAGCTGAGAAATGAGGTATCCATGAACATATCGAGCGAGGGCTCGAGGAGGAGCCAGGGCATAGAACCCCGAAAAAACCCTCGGAAGAAGCCGGCGACGCAGCAGCTGACGCAAGGCTCCTGGGATCCGAACACAATGATCACGAGATCGGCGGAAGGGATGCCCCCAAAGAAACCAGAACATCCGTCAAAGCCAGATCAGATCCGACAGTTAGACCAGCACGGCCAAGATCAGGCTCCCGCACCACCGCCCAAACAACTGACGTGTGACTCAGGTGCCCTCCAAAAACGGTCGTAAGCGGGATCACAGCCATAGCAATGCTGCCAGAGGGAGAGACAAGGATGCGATCCGAGAGTCCCACACAAGACCCTGCCCAGTCCGAATCTGAGAGGGAACCAAATGGGACCTCTTCCAGTACATCAAGAACCCAAAAACCCGGCGAGCTGGTAAGGAACCAAATCCCTGGCGAGCAGACACGCAGATTGGCTGGGAGCCCACACAGCCAATTGTCTAGGTAAGCCAGAACTCAAACGAATCACCACGACCCGGTTAAGGTGTGTGGACACGCGAGGTGCCAGATCCAAATTGAAAGGAAAGTGACGAAAGTGGTAAGTCTGTCACTCCACGACAAAACCGAGCCAGTCCCTGAACACCAAATGAATCGGGACGTGCTAATACGCGTCCCGGAGGTCCAGAGACACCATCCAGGCACCCAGCGCCAAAAGCAGCCGGACCTGAGACAGAGTGGTCATCTGAAAGGGGGGCAAAAAACCCAGGGGATCAGACAGGACAAGACCAGAATGAATCGCAGATCTGCCCAGTTCAGTTTCGGAATTGAAAACAGGCAGGAAACCCACTGTAGGATGACCTAACAGCGCAGGGAAAGACGCCCACCCTGCAAGCCCCAATCCCCCCAAAGGAGAAGGAAAGAACCAACGCCACCGCAGGCTGAAGGAAAATGATCCGAATTGCCCACGAATCATGGGACCAGCGAGAACAAATGGCATGAGCCTCCCCTCTATTGCCCTGCCAACAGGGCGAACCGTGTAAGGGCCGATGACCCCTACAAGAGCCCAACTGACACTCAGGGTGATCACTGAGCCAACGACTCGGCAGGAGGGCCAGTCCCAAATCTGGCACTACTGGCTTACGACGACCGAAGGAACCCCAAGACCTGGCACGGCCCTTCCGGGCAGGACATAAACCCCAAAAAGCCCCCCCCCCCCCGGAGAATCTACATAGTTGGTTCTACTTAGACCAGTTGACAACATAGGCCGTCAACTCGACGAAGTTGCCTGGAGAAAATGCACTACCACAGACTCTGCAAACAGTAACGGACTAAAAAGGGGATGAAAATCTAAGAGCCAGGGCCCAAGACGATTCCAATAATTGGACGAGCACCACCTGTCAGCACGCGAGACGAGAAGCGAAGAACAGACACCGCCTCCCTCAGAAACGGCGCATACAACTTCAACAAGGAAGCCGGTGCTCGAGCTGCCGAAGCAAGCACACCAGACACTGGCCCGGAACCCAGCTCCTCCACACCCACCACGAGCCAGTCCAAAGACAGCTCCAGCAGGGAAAAGAGATGCAAGACCGGAGCCAAGTGCCCACAGGCTCACAAATCCTCAGCCTCCAGGGATACTGAAAGGGAGGGAACCTGCACGTGAAGACGCACCTGGCTGACATCATAAGGAAGGACGGGGGTGAACAAGCACGCATTGAGGTGCTCCAACTCGCCCCCCAAGAAAACCTGAATGACCGTAGTCAACTCTCGCAACCCATTCAAGTGTGCAGTCCGACAGGATGAATGTCAAGCCCCCAACGAAAGAAAAGGCAGTCTGCCAGCCAGGAAGACTCCGGCACCTTGTAACGTACCCAATAAGGAAAAGAGGAGCCAAACTCAAAAGAAGAAGGCTTCGTTATCGAGGTGTAATCCGGGTCTCGTAGGAGGTAAGCCGCAAGGGCCTCCCCACACCTTCCTCGGTGGGATGCGGGAAGCCAAATACCTCCAGAAGGAGGAAACCAAAGAACCCCAGGGAACTCGGAACCGAACCCGAGGAGGAGTCGAACATGTAACAAAATCGTACAGGGAGGGGGATAGGAAAACCCCTCCCCCTGTAACAAGCCCTATGCCAAGGGTACCAAACACCCAAGCAGAGACAAGTGGGGCCCAGACCCCCCCCCCCAAAGTCAACTACTCCCCCGCCCCGGAATCCTCCATGTCAGGACCCGGGGCCGAGCCGTCCTCCAAACCCTCTGCCTCTGGAGAAAAAGCAGAGTTCACCGAAAAAGCAGGGATGAAGGGGGCCCGCTGGCATGGCCCAAAAGCTCCGGCAGGAGGACCAGGCTCGAATGCCTCCGCCGCTGATCCGGAAGGGCCAATCCGCGAAGCTACCCGAGTCTCTCTACTATAATTCAGCAAGGCATCCAGAAAGGCAACCAACCTTGCACGTTGCTGCAACCTAAACCTCGCATGCAATGCTAAAGCTGCCTGCACCCAAATATCAGTCTCAGTGGACTGGGTGAATGGAGTACAAGCAAAGAACACCACTCGCAGAACTCCGGGTCATAGGTGTATCTGACCCCAACAGGCAGCAAGGCGGAGGCAGACGGTGAGTGTCACCCTGAGACAAGGGGACAGAGCAACCTTCAAAATCGCACAAGGCTAGGTGGGACTCAGGTCTCCTACATCGGACCACTGAGGCCCAAAGGGGGTTTCTAGGGCTCCTTAGGCTGACTGCTAAGGGAAGCCCAGGCGAGGTACTGCAAACCGGTTATCCCAGAGCTACCAAGCAAACTAACTAATAGCTGAACCCCTTCGACATGTGCAAGCACAGGGACCTAGTGGAGGGCCACCAAAATCCTACAAGTGGTCCCCTGTATACTAGTCATTACAACTAATCTACCTTGCCTATAGGCTGCCTACCCATTAACCTTAGGCCTTTGTCTCCTCTTGTGTATCATACCAGATCCAGCTCGGTTAACAACTAGTGTCTGGCTGTTGCCATCTGCCAAGGAGGTATAATGGCCATATGTGTTTATAGGACTGTCTGAACTACTGTATAGATTGAATATGAGGGGGTAAATGAATAACACATTAACAAATACAGTGCCCCTGATCATAGATAAATGAACATTTGGGAAGTAATTTTGTCTTGGATTTAGAAATTTGCACAGGAATGTAATTGCTCTTCTTATCTGGTAGTTGTATGAAAATATTCTTTGGAGAGCTGGTCATTGCTTTAGGAAGCAACTGAGCGACCTGCTTAGAAAAGGGTGTTTCATCTATACTCATGACTTTTTTTCTTTAACAGAAGCAGTCATCAGATAATAAGAATAAGGATGGCATCAGCAACAACCAAACAACGTTATGACTTGGTGATTCTTGGAGCAACAGGTTATACTGGGCAGTTTGTGGTTGAGGAAGTATCTCGTGTGGCACAATGTGATATGACACAGAAAAATCGGTCACTGTCATGGGCTGTAGCTGGGCGTTCCAAAGACAAACTAATGAATTGCCTTGCAAAAGCACGTAAAAACACAGGTAAGTTGTGCAGTATTTTATTGAGTCTACTAATACAGTATATAGATATTTGATGATGTGTGCATGAATATTCATTAAATATTTATGCAGGAGACTAGTGATGGCTCCCTGAAACTGAGGTTGCTTGTCAGCCTTGTTACAAGCCAATGTTCATTCTCTGCCACCACCGTGCTGCCAGTTGGGTTGGTGACACTTTTGAGCCAGAGTCCTGTGACATATGCGTGCATTGGGTCTCCGTTTTATCTGAACCTGCTTCCTGTTAGGAAGCTTACCAGGCAATTGTTACTTTATGGACTTTGTTTTCCCATATCCGTGATCTGTGATGATGTGCTTGATTGGATGTTTTGGAGTTGTTCCCTGTGGTGTTTAGAGACCCAGATTTGGAGGTGCTGGTGTATTCCACTTGGGTTTAGGCCACCCCTCCTTATATTTCTCCTGCTGGTGTGGTTCACCCAGCTTCTGGTTCCTTCCCTTTCCTAGTTCTGGCTCTGAAACATCAAATGGTTTTGGAATTGGTACAGAGCCAATTGGCTTTGGAATTGGCTTTGGAGGTAGTTTGGTCACTTCCAAGGAGCAACCACATTCATTTCTATGGCTGTGGCAGTTGAGCTGTTCCTTCCTGCTGAAGATATGGTGCCAAAGCCTTCACAGCAGAACTCCAATCCTTCTTGAGATGCTGTTTTCTTATATCTGATATCCCAGGTATCAGAGGCAGAATACAGCTCTGTCTTGGGACAATCATGGCTGGCTTCTGGGGCTGAGGGAGAGGACCCAGGGAGAGCCGGTTGGCCGAGCGGACAGCACGCTGGACTTGTGATCCTGTGGTCCTGGGTTCGATCCCAGGCGTCGGCGAGAAACAATGGGCAGAGTTTCTTTCACCCTATGCCCCTGTTACCTAGCAGTAAAATAGGTACCTGGGTGTTAGTCAGCTGTCACGGGCTGCTTCCTGGGGGGTGGAGGCCTGGTTGAGGACCGGGCCGCGGGGACACTAAAAAAAGCCCCGAAATCATCTCAAGATAACCTCAAGAAGATAACCCAAGGAGGGTCTATGGGTGCCGTTCAACCATTTCTATACTTCAGTTCATTCAGTTGAGGGCATATTGCTCCAGGGAAATGAACTATACCCTCCTTCAACGTATGAGCTCTATTACTCGGCGGCTTTCCCCACGGTTCATATATGTGTACCATTTGGTTCCAAAGAGTTGTCTTAGTTCCAAAAGTTTCCTTTATCCGGCCTTACATGTTCTGTGGCATGAGCGGATCTATTTCTGTTCCTTTGCTGAATTTGTACCTCACTTATTTGATGGACCTGGCCTCATTTGAATTCAGGTCTGCTGCTGCTTATTGGCTGTGATATGAATTTCCTGATTCATCCTGGCTGGCTGACAACCTGCTACTTTTTCTTGGGGGAGCCCTGTTGGCTTCCCGGAGCTATCCAGCCTGAATGGATATGTATAACTTTCTGGCATCAGTCAGTGTTTGGAGTTCTTGCCTACTGGGAACCACGAGCCAGAACCTGGCCCCCCTCAGAGAGGCACGAGGAGCAATGGCCTATAGAAATCCCCTCTGGGGTTGGGAGCATTCCATGTCTACCATCGACCGGGACAGACACCCAGAAACGTAGGCGCCCCAAAACAAACCCCTATTCTGGTGAAAATATTGCTACCGAAAGCCGAACGAGTGGTCAGAGCTCTCCAAACAAAATTATCAAACCAGCATGGCATCATCACGTCGCTGCACCGCCGTCTGCAGAACCCCCCCCCCCCTCCCTGGGAGGGGGGGAATTGGGAGCCCCAGACCATCCGCGCTGGCGATCCAACCGGCAGTTCTTGGCTGATGTGATTACTGGCCAGTCGAGTGCCTCTGGCTCCAGTTTTGTTTCAGTTCTGTGCCTTGTGGAGTGGGCTGCCTCTACAGGTGGTGTGAGAGCCAGGAGTGAGATTCCACAGTACTCGGGCTGCATGTGCCTAGGGCCCTCTTCCCTAGGGGCCCCTGTAAGTACTGCCCCTTGGGGCTTGGGGCCACCTTCCACAAGTCACCTTGGGATCTACCTCTGCTGTGTCCTTTACTGCTTGGTACTGGGCTGCCCTTGGGGTCAGCTGGGGTTTTGTTGCCCTTGTTTGTTTCTGGGTAGGAGGTAGTTTTCGTCACTGGTAGGGGCACAGAGTACTGCACAGCTAGTTTTCACCAATAATAGTGGCCGGCTCTGTTCTGCCTAGGTACGTTGTCCCCTTGTGGGGTTTTTCTTTTATTTTTGTTTTTGCCTGGTGGGGAGGTCTGCCTTTGTGGTCCCCTTTGCTGTTCTCGTTTATATATATATATATATATATATATATATATATATATATATATATATATTATTAAATATGACCGAAAAAGTAAGATTAATAATTCTAACACGAATTTTCTCAATCTTTCGTACATTACGCTTCACTGTTGGAGGTAAATCAAAAATCAATTCTCCAAAATTCATTTTTATTTCTAGTCTGACGCGACACGGGCGCGTTTCGTAAAACTTATTACATTTTCAAAGACTTTAGTTCACAAATACACAACTGATTAGAACTTACGTATCTCCGATTTTATATCTACATTTGAGTGAGGTGGGAGGGGTGATGTGGCATTAACACAAGACAGAACAAGAGGGGATATTAATAGGGTATTAAAAGTATCAACACAAGACAGAACACAAACAATGGGTATTGAATAGAAGTGTTTGTAGAAAGCCTATTGGTCCATATTTCTTGATGCTTCTATATTGGAGCGGAGTCTTGAGGTGGGTAGAATATAGTTGTGCAATAATTGGCTGTTGATTGCTGGTGTTGACTTCTTGATGTGTAGTGCCTCGCAAACGTCAAGCCGCCTGCTATCGCTGTATCTATCGATGATTTCTGTGTTGTTTACTAGGATTTCTCTGGCGATGGTTTGGTTGTGGGAAGAGATTATATGTTCCTTAATGGAGCCCTTTTGCTTATGCATCGTTAAACGCCTAGAAAGAGATGTTGTTGTCTTGCCTATATACTGGGTTTTTTGGAGCTTACAGTCCCCAAGTGGGCATTTGAAGGCATAGACGACGTTAGTCTCTTTTAAAGCGTTTGTTTTGTGTCTGGAGAGTTTCTCATGAGTAGGCTGGCCGTTTTTTCTGGTTTTATAGTAAATCGTCAGTTGTATCCTCTGTTTTTTGTCTGTAGGGATAACGTTTCTATTAACAATATCTTTCAGGACCCTTTCCTCCGTTTTATGAGCTGTGGAAAAGAAGTTCCTGTAAAATAGTCTAATAGGGGGTATAGGTGTTGTGTTAGTTGTCTCTTCAGAGGTTGCATGGCTTTTCACTTTCCTTCTTATGATGTCTTCGATGAAACCATTGGAGAAGCCGTTATTGACTAGGACCTGCCTTACCCTACAGAGTTCTTCGTCGACTTGCTTCCATTCTGAGCTGTGGCTGAGAGCACGGTCGACATATGCGTTAACAACACTCCTCTTGTACCTGTCAGGGCAGTCGCTGTTGGCATTTAGGCACATTCCTATGTTTGTTTCCTTAGTGTAGACTGCAGTGTGGAAACCTCCGCCCTTTTCCATGACTTACATCTAGAAAGGGCAGCTTCCCATCCTTTTCCATCTCGTAAGTGAAACGCAGCACGGAACTCTGCTCAAATGCCTCCTTCAGCTCCTGCAGATGTCTGACATCAGGTACCTGTGTAAAAATGTCGTCAACATACCTGCAGTATATGGCCGGTTTCAAGTTCATGTCGACTAAGACTTTTTGCTCGATGGTACCCATGTAGAAGTTTGCAAACAGGACACCTAGGGGAGAACCCATGGCGACCCCATCTACTTGCTTATACATGTGCCCATCCGGGCTCAAGAAGGGTGCCTCTTTAGTACAAGCTTGGAGTAGTTTCCTCAGAATATTTTCTGGCATGTCAAGAGGAGTACAGGCTGGATCACGATACACTCTGTCGGCTATCATTCCGATTGTCTCGTCCACAGGTACGTTGGTAAACAGCGATTCTACGTCCAACGAGGCTCTTATCCCTGTGGCCCGTGTGCCCCGCAGTAAGTCAACAAATTCCTTTGGAGACTTCAGGCTGAAGGCGCAAGGAACATAAGGAGTCAGCAGGCCGTTGAGTCGCTTCGCCAGTCTGTACGTGGGTGTGGGTATCTGGCTAATGATTGGCCGAAGTGGGTTTCCAGGCTTGTGCGTCTTGACATTTCCATACGCATATCCAGGTTTATATTCCCCAATGATCTTTGGCAGGTGGAGTCCGGATTTCTTGGCGTTCACAGTTTCGATCAGTTTGTTGACCTTTGCTTTTAAGACACAAGACACAAAAGAAGGTCACTACCAAAGATACCTTACAAGCAGAACTTATTGCAGAAGGAGGAAAGAATCGAGGCAACTACAGAAGCACCATACTGTCCCCCGAGCTTAAAGCGGCAGCTAAAAGCCTTCGTGAGAACAAGGAGATAGTTGTCAGGAGAGGTGACAAGTCGCCAATATATGTCATTCTTAAAAAAGACGAATATCTGGCGAAAATGAACATCATACTCTCTGACCAAACTAAGTTCCAAAGGGTAACGAAGGACACTACAGCCGAATTAAAATGGAGTGGATGGAGTGAGGTGGCATTAATAGGGTATTAATTTCATCAACACAAGACAGAACATCCACCTCTTGTTCTGTCTTGTGTTGATGAAATTAATACCCTATTAATTAACACTTTCGCGCTATCCGGACGCATCGGCGCGTCCCGTTTCGTCTAACGCAAACGCATAGTGGACATAAAGTTGAGTCCTCTTTTAAAATATTTGTATAAAATTCAATTTTTATCCGATTTACTTTGGGTTTGTTTCAAACTGCGCGCTATGAGGCTCTCTTTCTCACCACTAGGCTGCATGGTACAATAAGTTCATGAAAGGTGTGGATAACTTCGATCAAATGGTATTTTGTCCCAAACGGGTTGCAGGTGGGTGACTTTAGCCGTTTATACTGGTAATGC